CTGATGAGCTCTTCTGAACGACATAATAAGTCTTCTTACGAGCAAATTTATTGTGAGAGGTGATGTCCTGGACATCTTCTTCAACATCATACTCAGAATCACTGGAAGGAACCTCCTTCCTCTTCTTAGTAGGTACAATAACTTTACTCCATGGCTTTGGAGGACCAATAGGAGCTTTTCTCCTGAAACTCTTTGGAGGATTGTCTCTCTTTTCATTAGCCTTTCCTTGATCCTCATTAGAGGGAGGGCAATCCACCATCACAACCTTTTCTTTCCTACTTTTGAGTCTGATGGCTATTCCCGGAGCTAACTTCTTGATGATGGATTCCTCATTAGATAATAAGTTATCAACATCAACCACATCCATCACCCTAACATCGACTCTTTTCTTACTGTGTTTATCACGAATAACTTGGCCAGGCGTAGATTTTTTAATCCTTGCCTTAGATGTTTCAATTGTACTATTCTCTTTTACCAAAGATGTTAGATCATCTGACATTACATTTACACCTCCTTATTTTAGAACTTTGGTCGCAAACTTCCTACGTCTCTTATCAAGGTTACTACAATCATCTTCAGACAGGCTTTCATCAACAATAATAGGTCCAATAAGGCTTTTCTCCTTGGATTATTTCTCTAGGTTAACATTGGTTCTATTTTTACCAACATTAGAGGAAGATGACTTACCAGAAGGCCTATCATCTTTTGAATCTGATGTTCTTGCTTCCTCTTGAGTAAAGGTTGGAACAATGGATAATGGAATAATATCCAAGACTAGGTCAGACAGATTAATCATTCATATTGAAATGCCAACCCTAGAATTTAAATGAGATGATCCTTGATCTTCAGATGATGCATGCACGTAATCACCTGAATGATGTTGAGACATTGTTGATTTTTGTAAAGCCAAATTAGTAGTTGAGCCAAGGGAGTACAAACATACTAGCAATTTCTTTTGAATAAATGCAACCGTTTTGAGCGAACAGTTGGTTTGGTATAAATAGTGTGCCCAAATGATTAAGCCTTGGAAGAATGGTCTTAGGTAGACGTTAGAGTCATAAAATTTGAAAATCTGATTGACCCAAATGATTAAGCCTTGGAAGAATGGTCTTAGGTAGACGTTAGAGTCTAAAAGCTACGTCTTTCCTTTTGACTTGATCCTTCACATCATGTGACTTGATTTTTGTGATTTTAGTCCTACTTTGTTAAGTAGTAGGTTCATCACTTTTTGTTACTCTCAAGTTGTCACAATACAATATCCTGACATCTTGTGTAACTTTGTAAGCACACAACATCCGTTTTAACTTCATACTCCTTTCAACAACTCTCTTGGCCCTCAGACGTGTTACAGAGCATTCTGTCTCTTTAGAACTCCATAAATAACAATTATCTTTTGATTTTCTACCCTTCGTGATAACCTCATTCTTATAATTTGTTATCAGACATTCAGAGTTTGTAAAATTGACTGAGACCCTGGTTACATAGTTGACTTATACTTATCAGGTTGGCATTCAATCCTTCAACAAATAGTACATCATCAAGGCTAGGTTTCCCTATATAATCCAACTTTCCAATACCCATTACTCTACCTTTAAATGTGTCTCCATAAGTTACAATTTTAGTGGAGGGTAGTTTAAATCCCACTAAAAATTTCTTGATACTTGTCATATGTCTTGAACACCCACTGTCAAAATGTCATGCTTTTCTAGTTGATGCTTTAAGAGAGGCATGGGTTCTTTCTTCAAACATTCTCCTTTTGGGAATCCATCTTTTCTTTTTCTTGTCCACAATATGCCTTCTTCCTGGTTGTGTGTTGGATTTGGGATAACCATATAATTTGTAGCAGTAGGGTTTTATATGACCAAATCTTCCATAATAAGAGCATTTCCATCTCTGATTTCTGCCTCTTTTATACTTTATTTGATGTTGGAACATGTGCTCAAACATCTTTTGTTCTTGTTTCTTCTTTGGAGGTACAAACTTTACAACAAGCTTAACTTCTTTATTCTTTACAACTCGACCCTCATAACCCAGACCTCTAACATTTCCAACATTCCTGCCAGATTCAAGAATCTCATCCAGAGCATCAAAACCACTATTTAACATTCATATAGTTTTAGTCATATTGTCCAGTTTTGAATTGAGCAATATAACCTTTTCTCAAAGGTCAAAAATAATGGATACATGCTTCCCTTTCTCAGCCAGTAGTTGAGCAATGGTTATCTTTTGCTCTTCTCATTGTTGACATATTTCTTCACTTTTGACACATAACTCCCTGCATGATACAATGAGTTCCTCAAAAGTAAGTTCATCATCTGATTCTTCATCAGAATCAAAGACTCCAGTCAAGGTACTCACTTGTTTGACTGATTTCTTTTCATGATCGCTTTCAGAATCTTCCTCTGACCATGACACAGATAAACATTTCTTCTACTTCTTGAGATAAGTGGCACACTCAGATTTTATGTGTCCAAATCCCTCACATTCGTAGCACCGAATTCCTTTTCCCTCACTTGGATTTTCTTCAAACTGGGACCTTCCTCTATTGTCATGGTCTTTGTTGATGTCGAAGGACATGTTCTTGACATTTGACTTGGACTTTTCTCAGCAATTTGTTGAATTGTCTTCCTAGTAACACAAGATATTCAGATACTCCTTCTAAGTTCAACTCGTCAGAGTCCTCTAAGTCTTCAGTACTAGAAGTAAATGCTATATTCTTCTTCTTTTCAGACCTTTCATTGATTGCAGATTCAAAGGTCTTAAGGGAGCTTACAAGTTCATCCACAGTCATAATGCTTATATCATGAGATTCTTCAATGGAAATCACCTTCATATCAAACCTCTTTGGAAGAGATCTGAGCATCTTTCTGATCTGCTTATCCTCTGATATCTTCTCTCATAGGTCTTTTGAGTCATTAACAATGTCTAGAACAACCACGTGAAAGTCCTGAATACTTTCATCTTCCTTCATCTTCAAGTTATCAAATTTTGTAGAGAGAAGTTGAAGTTTTGTCATATTTACCTTAGTACTTCCTTCATGAACTTTCCATAAGGTCTCTCAAGCAACTTTTGCATGTTTACAATTCTTTATCAGCTTTAAAATATTTTTATCAACTCCATTGAATATGGAATTCAATGCTTAGGAGTTTTCTTAAGCTAATAGCTCTTCAACATCATTCCAGTCTTCTTCAGGCTTCAACACATCCGTAACTTTTCCATCTGTATCCGTAGCACTTGGTGGTTCCCATCCTTTGACAGTATTTTTCCAGGCCTTGTTGTCCAAAGATTTTATGAACATTTCTATATGAGGTTTCCAACTGTCATAGTTGGTACCATTAAGAATAAGTATTTTAACCACAACTCCACCATCCTTGTCCGTTGCACCAAAAAGTAATTTCCCTGAATCTCACCCAGAGTCTGAGCAGGATGCCTGCTCTGATACCAATTGAAATTCTGCCTATCAGATCCCGAATATCCTAAGAGATGTTGAGACACCAGATCTGACTTCACACATAACAACACAGTGTATAGACAAAATAAGCAGTGCTAAAAGTAAATAACACAAGATATGTTTACCCAGTTCGGAACAACCTTCCTACTCTGGGTGCTACCAAGTCAGGGACGAAATTAACTAGATAATATCAATTTGTAGACCACAGCAAACATCCTAATTTACAGCCCACACACTTAATCACTACCATTTTCTTAACTTCTACTTAAGACACACATATGTATGAGGTCCTCCTCAAATCCCTCTTCAATTACACTCAGTAATTAGAGCAACTCTAAACAGAAATAGAGAACAAAACTGAAAGTCACTCTTCCAAGACACAGAAAACTCAATGCTTAAAAGCTTATGAGAATTGGCACATAAACACTCAATGCTTAACAACTTATGAGCATCTGACACATAAATGTTCAATACTTAAAAGTTTATGAACATCTGACACAGAACTTACAACCCAACAATAAGGATTCTAAAAACCCTAACAAAACACACACGTAAGTTCCATATAATACTAGATATACACCAGTCAATTTATAAGTTTAATCTGGACTGGATTGAGCTTTAAAACTGCAGTAGTAAGGCTGCACAAAGTCTGCAAATTCTTCTCTAAGAAAATAGGTCTTCAATCATTAGTTTCCTAAAATGTCTCCATATTTAGAAATTATGCAAATCTTCGAAAACCAACATAAAATATTATGATTTGTCAATCTTGGACTCCACATAAGCTAACTAAATATTTCCTGAATATTCAGTAGCTAACAAATCAACTGAACCATAATTGTCAGTTGCTGCAGACACGATGTCCTATCTCCTGGTTGAGACATCTTACTCGACATGTTGAAAACTGAATGTTGGAACATATTGTTCAACATGTTGCTGTCAAGTTGATTTTACCAAAATGTATGCTAATCATAAATTCAGAGAAATAAAAAGGAGAGTCTCATACACGAGAATTATGCGGGTTTATAACATGTTTGAATTGGCGTTTGGAAGACCCAAAATCAATTATAGAGTTGTAAAATTGATCATGGGTGATTTTGAAGTGTTTATTTCATCAAAAATAGAATTAATTTTGTCTCTAGAATTGATTCTATTTGAAGGTATAATTTATAGCCTATGTCTCCATAATTGATTATGAATAATTTTTACACTAAAATTTATTGTTCAACTCACTTTTATATAAATTTATCCAAACATAAATAAATTTTATTAAACTCAATTTTATAAAAATCAATTCTATCAAACTCAATTCTGATAGAATCAAGGATGTCTCAAGTCAATCCGAAGATATTCTTAATTGTTTTTGGGGTTAAGCCCTCTTTTCTTAAAAAAAATTAAAAGCAAAAAAAAAAAAAAATCTTTGACATACATGATACATTCTCCCTTTTCCCGCGTTATCACCTGGCAAAATTTGGTCACGAAAAATTCAAAACGCAACTGAACAACTACAGTAAAAAAATCAGGTTTCTGTGTGTATGAGCTCAAACTAACAATGGCCGATTCGAAGAAGCGATGGACGGTAACGTACACAAAACACATCAAACAGAAACGCAAAGTCTACCAAGACGGATTTCTAGTGCTCAACGTTTCCACCACCAAGGTTTTCTCTCAAATCTTTTCTCTCTCTAAATTACCGTCAATTTCATCGAATCGAACACTTTTGGGATCGGAATTTCACATTGGATTCACTCAATTGCAAAATCTGACGAAGTTTTTTCTCTCAATTTCTGTGTAGTTGTCGCTGTATGATGAATGCGAGAAACTGTTGGAGTGTAGGCTCTTGAAGAGCGACGAAACTGTTGCATCTGGTGAGAGTTTGACGTTTAACGGTCATCTTGTTGATATTGGTAGTCTTGAAGGAGAAAACAAGCCTGAATCTCAATTGAAGGTTGATAAAAAGCAAAAGAATGTTTTCAGATTCAGAACTCCTGGTATGAACTCTATCGTAATCTTTTATAAATTTATAGATAGATATATCTATGTTAAAATTAGTTGGAGTTTGTTAAAGGTAGTTGCAGACTATGTAGCACCGACACCTCTGAAAAGACATGTCAGTGTCGTTGTTCGAAATCGACATCAACACGTGCGATTAAACTTAATTTATTTATTTTTTCAAGTTATTATTTTATATAATGATCTTAATTATGCTAACTAATTTTAATCGGCTTGAAATTAATTCTGACCAACTTTTGATTTCCTTTAACGACTCCAACTAATTTTAATAAATATGTTTATTTATTTATTTGCTAATTTTTGAGGCATCATTTCGAATGCTTAATCATGATTTGCTGTTTATGTCTTTTTGATGCGTGTGTTGATGCAAAAGATGTCAAAGTTAAAGCGAAGGAGACTATTCGGACACAGAAACCTCTCAGTCCATCACAAAAAATTATCAAAGGTTAACATTAGCATCATTAATTTCAAAATTTGGCTTTTAAGCTTTGTGAAAATATTTTTGTGCTCTTAGATTGTTCTTGTTGAGTGTCTAGGAGTTCAAACTATGATGGCATGATGTGTATTTTCAAATTACAAAAAGATCAGCATGTCCATAGTTTCTTATCAACTTATTTACTTATGCGGTTTGCGCCATTTCTACATGTTATGATGATAATTGATTAGCCGTAGCCTATAGGTACTTATATGATTTGCAGTGCGGTTTAGTTGTATAATTAGTGTGGCTGTAAACATTGCAGAATTTAAGAAGAGAGAAATTCTTAAGTATCAGTCACCAAAGATAAGTCAGGAAACACCAAAACCTAGTTCAACTGGTTAGTGTAATGCTGAGTTCACTCTGCTTTTCTTGCCTTATTTGTCTTTTTCTGTCATTCTGGTGCAAAATATGGCAATGCAGCATTGATTCTGCCTAGTTACTCTCTTTTAAATTCAAAGTTGAGATACACGGGGAACATGACAGTATGTTGTAGGACATAATGAGTAAGAAACTTCCTTTTCTTGTTATATTTATCTTCTAATTATTAGAACTTTTTCTATATCCAATTAGAGTGGCAAGTTCTATACACCAGTCAAATGACTCAGAAGGCAAAGAAGTACCATGATGGTTATTTACGACTTGATTCATGCGGATCTCGGGGGGCACAGGTTAACTTCCAAACGTCTATTTCTTTTATCCAAAGTTCAATATATGTTTTGATTTCAGGATATGATTGGTGAGATTATTTTAATGCATACATACTGAATACTTTTTTTGTCTGTTATTATTGCATTGTGGTCAATGGCATGCTTGGATTAGCTTAAATACTAAAATTGTTTCCATAATTGCTTGTAAAGATATTTATCCAAACAGGTTATAAATCTTAAAATGTCCCAGTTGCAGTCAGGATTACATGATGGGCTTAATAAATGGTTATCCGTCCCTCTTCTGTCTGTATTTCAGGTTAGGCTGTTTGATGCAAGCAGGACGCTCTTAGATAGCAGGTTCCTTAAAAAAGATGACGTAATAAAACCCGGCGAATCAATTACATTTGATACATATTTGGTTGACATTAGTGAGGATCAAGTAAGTCATACACCAGATTCCAGTGTTCAGGGAAACAATTGCACTAATATAAAGAGAATAGAGAAGATAGACAGACAGAAAACTTCTCTTGACACTGATAGCCATGTAACCGTTGGAAAACGTGGTTAGTTGACAGTTATACTTAATTGTTTTGAAAATATTGTATTTGCCCAGTTGCTTTTAGTTGCATCAGTTCTTTTTCCATTTTGTATTTTTATTTAATAGGATAGTTATAGATTTCATTAGCATTTCCTATTTCCAATAAATTCTTAGTTACACTAATTTTCTTTCTTGTTACTCAGTTCTGTAACTTCTAGCTGTTTTAAAATTGAAGCAAGAATATCAAGAAAAAAGTGCAGAGTCTTTATGTGTCAGTCACTGATATGATTTGGTTAATGAGTCAAATATGATTTACGTGATGCATGTAGCTGTTCTATTTAATGACAACATTTGGATCTAAAATACAGAATTTGCACTTTTAATTGACAAAGTACTTTGCCTTTTCAAAAAATAATGAAAAGAGTACTGATTTTATTACGTGAGATCTTACATTTGAATGGTGATATACAGAATTCCGTGAAAACACTCACACACACACACACACACACATGTATAGTATTTATAGTTTTATCATGAATCAACGGAAACTAATAAGTGTGTCAATTAATGGGTTTTGTTCTTTCTTTCTTATGGATTCCTTCTTGCTTGTATATGGTCAGTTTCGTTTGAAGTTTATTGGTTGCATTTGTTTTCTGCTTTGACTGCCTTCAGTTTTTTCTTCTTCATTAACTGTTTAGCATTCACCTGTATATCTCTTTCTTTTCCAATATAGAATGGAAGATCATATACACAACACAATTATCTCAAAAAGCCAAGAAGTATCATGACGGCTTTTTACAACTAGAGTGCTGTGGATCCCATGGGCGGCAGGTTAATTTTTCTCACTTGTTATAATTTTCTTTTTCCTGTTTGTATCGCCACATGTTTCTTTATCTGTCATCAGTTTGTTTGATTTTTTGTTTATTTTGAAACTGGTTCCATGGAAATGAATTATTCAACTTTTCTTAATAACACCAGACCTTATTTAAACACACATTATCTTGGCACAGTGATAATTTTATTAGTTGTGTTTCCAGGTCATACTGTATGATTTGAGCAAAAGACCTTTAGAACGCAGGTTTCTAAAGAAAGATGAAGTTATAGAAGCTGGTTCCATGGTATATTTTGCTGGACATTTAGTTGATGTTGGAGAACCTGAGGGAAGTCATCAATCTTCAGTGAAGTTGAGTGAACGAGGGACTGGTGGTGAAAATGTTGTTGAGAAGAGAGAACAAAGACATGGGCAAAAGGTCCGTCGCGAGCTTCATCCATCTACTGCTAAAGGTTAGTCCTTAGCTATGCAGAAGTTTCTTCAATTCATTTTATTGTTGTACAATTCTGTACTTCCATGCATGTCATTCAATTGTTTTGAACTTACTATCATCCATTCTTTATACACAATGATCTCATTAAGAAATATCATATATTTCTGTTGTATTATATCTTTTGCTCATTTAGTTATTATGTGTCTTTAAAGCTTCTTCTGTCTTGTTTTCGTTGTTACCCATTAATGACACCCATCTATCTTAGAAATTGAATGCAAAATAATAAATATTAATGAATAATCATTTAGGATTAAAGAAGAAACCTCCTTAATATCAGTGAAGTCTAAAGACAAGGAAGCTATGAATATTGAAAATCATTCACAAAAATCACAATAAAAAAACACCAAATCTGGCACTAGAAATCAAAAACACTGTTTGAATAGCATGACTTGATAAGAGTTAGCAATTTACTAATTAGTTTCATGTGAGGAATCACAAACAACTTCAAATTGTGCTATACATGCATGAATCAATCAATGCAATTAATAATTTAGTATCACCAATTTGAATCACATGATTCAATTTTCAACATTTTTTTCTTGTATGCTTTAACCAATTCTCATCAAAATATCGGTATTGGGTGCACCCTGATAACCATGAGCATGAAGCATGTCTTGAAAAAATAACTAAAGACATGCTATCACTATTGGGTGCACCCTGATAACCATGAGCATGAAACATGTCTTGAATGAGGTGTGAATAGGTTTTAATTTTTGACTCTCATCTGTTTATGGTTATGGCATGCAGGACAACCTTCGAGCTGGCCTTGTCTTCGGCAAGATGCAGGCTTGAACTCTCAATTTTCCAAGATTGAAGAGATCAAACCAAACAAGACAGTCCCAGTAGTCAAGCCTTTACATGATGGTTTGTACTTTGTACCTCTGGTCTGGACTCTAATCTTCCTGCTCTTGTTTGCTTTATTGCTCCCCCCTCCCCCTCTAGCAGGAAACAATGGAATGACTGGTGGACAGGTTTTGATTTTCACTCTCATCTGTTTGTGGCTATATTATGCAGGACAGCTTCCGAGCCGGGCTTGTCTTCCGCAAGATGCAGGCTTGAACTCTCAATCTGCGATAAAATCAAACAAGGCAGTCCCGTCAGTCAAGCCTTTACGTGACGGTTCGTAACAATGGTCTTGAAGCCAATCTTTTTATTCTCCCTCTACTAATAGGAAGTTGTGACTTAACATCTATAAGTATATCTTTATTAATACACCTCTTTAGAATTAAGTTGATTTGTCATGTCTAATCCAAACTATATTGATTCCATATTCATATTAGCGTTAGCATCTCTAACTTCACATAATGAGGTAAGTATCAAAATATAACTTGGCGAATGGCAATAATATACATCAACTGTGAGATAAGATAAATTATGAGCTCCCATTTACTAATATAAAATTCGATCAAGCCAGTCATTCTGCGACAGAGACACAGACATGTGATTCCTGTGCTATGATATATGGATCTTCATCAACATTGCTAATCTCAATATGTCATTTCATTATTCGTACATGTGGCTGATTTCTGGTTTTTGTGCAGTCAATCAGATATTGTCCTTTTTACAAGACCCTAAGGCTAAGCCTTCTGAATGTTATATCACAGGTTAGATGCGTAACCTTGTAAGATATCAATCTGTCTTTAGATCACAATAACGTGACTATGTTGGATTTATATAGGTGACCGATCTCCCAATAAGTCATATCAAAATATTTTGGATAGTGAATCAATGGAGACTACGATGTCTCCAGATATTACACCTACCAAAGGCAAGTCATGATGGATATTTTGGATTTCTTGCTCTTTTGTTTGTTTTTGGAAAATCTCAGTAGCGGTTCTTTGTTTTGACTTTTAAGTAGCACTGTTGACACAGCTTAATTTGGGTTCTGCAGCAACATCTGGTGGCGGTAGTTTCCAGTGTAGGGAGAATGTCAAAGTCTATCACCAGGTCTACTCTCTTTCTCTCTACATTTTCTCTAGTTGCCATTTCATACCATTGCTTTCTGTTCATTAAACGTCACGATGAAAATATTAACTCTTGGTCTTAAAGGATTGTTTGGGATTTTCTATGAAAGGCCAAGAGTACAATTAGGAGCATGGTAAACAGTAATAGTGGCAGCTAGAATGCAGAATGTTCATGTGATTTCTATGGCATTAGTTTCGTAATTTCCATACGGTTGAGAACTTTTCTTATGCGTTGTTTGGCAACCAGAGAAAAATACTTTTTCTCTATGAATTTTGTTTGTTTTCTATACGCTGCAAAATCATCAGTCGTCTAAAATTTGTTTGAGTGGTTTTGAAATTGTATATGTAGTCCAACTCGGACAAGGAAGCTCCACAAAGTATCAGTGAGGCAGATTTTGACTTATTATTATCAAGTCCGGATGTTCATTCTTCTTGCCTCGTTTCCAATGAAGGTGAGAGTGTGGAGGAGTTTTCGCGTGAAAGGGAAGAATTCCCAAGCTTTGACCTTGGATTTTGATGGGTAATGCTTCTTAAAAGTATGCATAATATTATTTTTCTCACCACTGCAACCTTTTGATATATGGACGTATACCTTATATATCACATGATCATTTAAAATTGAAATGATTGAAGAAACATTTCCTGTCTATTTCATATACATAAACTGGTGTGCATTTGTTCTATGTTGCTTCTTGCAGGCCAGTGTCTAGACAGTCTGATACATTAGTTCAGCTAGTTTTTCAATATTAGAAATGAAAAAGGAAAAGCTAAAGCTTCAACATTAATGTAAGTTACTTATACAAGGTTATTACCTGAATTAAAATTAATCAATACAAGGTTATATAATTCAAATATTGAACTTTTTTAATTAGAATTGTGACATGGAACCAATACTTCCTTATAGCCGTTGCAGGGTAGTCGATTGCAGAGACAGTAGATATGAATTCAGTCCTACATCCATTACTTTGTGCAGTGGCCTTGGGAGATCCAAACACAGAAAGTAGTTTATTAGCATTTTATTTCGCACTATCAAACAAGTAGAAACAATGTGTTATGCAAGTTGAAGCACCCAACAATGGTAGGTTTGGTATTGGATGGTTATTTGTGCTTTTTTATACAATAGCTTAAAATGCTAGAAAGAAAAAATAGTGGTTCGTAATATTTCTCTATTAGAGCTCTGCTTGTCAAGGCGGAAACTACAGGTTCGAAGACAACATTTATTAATTTATTCACTTTAGTATTTTTATTTATTGGATCTTAATTTATTTAACTATTCTATTAATTATTATTATTATTAATAAAAATATGTTACTAAATAAATTTTATTTTAGTATTAAAAACAACACGATTAATTAGAGCAACTCCAGCAGCATGTCTTTCACGCATATCGTTTGACATTAGAAAATGTTAGAGGAATTCCTTAATCCACAATATGAGGTGGAAAAGAATCTTATATAAAATCGAAAATATTTATTCAGTTTTCAAAAATACATTTTCGGATGTACCGTTTGCATCACACGCCAACGAGTGAAAATAGATTCACTTAATAGACAAACATAATATTATTTCAGAGATATATCTTCTTAGAAGAGTATCAAATAAATTGTCTATTGTCAATTTTAGGAAGTTATACAAAGATGTATATCCAAACATTTAAAGCGAGAATTTTAGAAATTTGTCACTTTTACATGCCAGATAATTCGGAAAATGCATCTCTAAAAAAATCTGATGTGTTATTGCTAAAAACAACTACTTGTATGATCAAGCCTCATATCCAAGTATTTCATAAACCCTCTCCAAAAATCCTTCTATTCTCGATCAAGATTTTCACTCCAAAACTTCAATCTTGTGTTTCATCAAATTAAAAGGAGCAAAAGAAGTTGGAATTTAAGGTAAAGTTCATTTATTTCAATCTTTATTGCTCACATTAATCATGTTTTGATGATGAAATAAGTTACGTTTTCTCTAGAAATGTATCTTCGAATTCTCTATGAACTCATCTTGAAAATTCTGGTACAGGTAACATACATACATCTCAACATCAGAATGATGTTAAGACAGATGTTACAACACCTGGTAGTAGACCAGACCAATGAAGTTATAAGTAATACATAAATAAAGTTGCAGAAAGATAAATAACACAATGACTTGTTAACCCAGTTCGGTGCAACATCACCTACTATGTGGCTACCAAGCTAGGAAGAAAATCCACTATCAGTAGTATTAGTTCAAAGTAAAACTCACCCGTTTACAACTTCTTGCTTAATCCCTACCCAATGCAACTTCTACCCAGGTCCTTCCTAAATATGAGAAATCACCATCTCACTTCCTAAATCACCTCAATGATATCTAACAGTCTTAATCCTAGTGACTGCAACAAATACAATTCAATTTAGAAGATTACACTTCAAATACAAAACTCAATCTCTTGCTTAAAAGCTTCGAGTGAGAACAATACTCAGCTCATTGCCTAAAGGCTTCTGAGTGAGAATTATAACTTGACTAACAATCAAGTAACAATCAGTCGACCACATGGTATCCAAGGATACATGGATGAGTTACAAACTACACAAGAGACTCTCAAAATCTAAGACTTATGCTTCCTCTAATTTTACAATTGTTGAATACATTAGGTTATGATTCTCCTTTAAATATAACTCTACAGTTCATGGGTTTTGATATTTTGAGTCCAAAAGTTTCTTGATCTATAAGCTGAGTGATGCACCAATTGTATAACGGATCTCCTTAAATCTTGGAACCACCAATACATAGTTTCCAAAATTGTCTCAACGCTCAATTTAGTAACTTTTGCACAACTGGAGATACAAATTTGTTCCAACAAATCTTCTTGACCAGTGAAAATCTCTGAAATATATCCAAGAGAAATATAATAGAAATAAATCAAATTTGTTAAGATTTAAAATACAACAGCACAAGCCAGCTGCATAACAGAACATGGTGTTATGACATCTTGTTCGACATCGGGTCAGAACCATGTTTTAGCAAAATGTTGTCAATCCATAAAACCATGGTACTAACAATCTCCCTCTTTGGCAAATTTTGGCAAAAACAACTAAAGACCAAACAACATGGGAAAAGGAATAAAACCATAAAACGTAAACACAAGCATCATTCTAAACATGTAAACTTTGTACATGAGGAAGAAGATAAGAGATAACCCCCTTAAACATAGTCCCGATTTTCCATCTTGAACTTTCCAGGTGAAAGCCCACAGGAGCAGACCCCAATTCCGGATAACTCAGAATACAAGTCACAACTATGCTCATAACTCAGAACACAAGACCCAATAGAAACACAAACACAAACTCAGGCAAGATGTTAGAACATTCTATGAAACGTCCTTGCAAAACAACTGCAAGAACAAACTCAAGACTCACATGATGTACAATCATGCTTCTCCTAAAGTGTTGCATACAACAAGCAACAACACTCACTTGACTCAGACCTAGACCTACCACTACTTTTCTCCCTCTTTTTAACCAAAAATTAACAAAAACAGGTTGAAAAGAAACTGACCAAAAATAGAATCAAAACATGCAAGAATTGATTCAAGACACCAAAGAAAAAACAGACTCAATAACAGAACTAAACACATAAACTATATCAAGGGAAAAGAACTCCCTCAACCAGAAAAGAGTCAACAAAAAAAAACAGAAAATCCCAAAGAAACAAAGAGTAAGTATAAGTTTCTCCCCAAACAAAAAAAAACTTTATGGAGGACTAAAAGCATCAAATTGACTTAAGGGAAAACAACTCCCCTAAGCAAGACTGACTCAAAAAAATATGTACAAGATATCAGTGACCAACTATCCAACTCTCCCTCCTGATTCAATGAAATTGACCAAGTCTTCATCAGCGTCTGAATCTGAATCATGCAAATGAACCTGATTCTTCTTCAAAGATTTCACCTCTGTCACATATGTTATCCCTGTCCATGATGCTCCATTTTATGTTCCAATATTTGTTTCAATGTTGAACCCATCCTTCTTTGGATCACAACTCTTATCCTTGTTGAACTCTAGCAGATGACCCTTCTTAATACCATCATTTCTTGAAAATTTACCCATTGTTGAAATGAAACAACATAGGATGTTGAGGTATACAATATTAAAAGCCAAGAGAAGTTACTTTGATTATAATGAAACCTTATTTATAATGATGATGCAGTCAATGTAAGCATTGCTGGAAGGAGATAAAATCTTCTTGAGTAACTGTGCACTTTTCCAAATAGAAGAGAGACATGTTCCTATTCAATCCTTTCTCTTTTAAAAATATTTGACTGTTGAAAATGTTACAACATTTGAAATGACATTCTTCACGCCATTGAAAATGCTTTTTCTGAAACTGCACACTTCACAAGGATAATGGATAAAACCGTTCAAACAGTTTCTACCAAAATTCTTTAGTATTGCAATACCAAAATTACCCTTCATCTTCTTACTTGTAACTTGAATTTCATGTTATGAGAGTACTTCCTAGAGCTTCTCGGATGTACCAGGTTTAGGAGAGCCAAACCTTGCTAGTAATAAAACTCTTGACACAATGTTGACTCAAACCCATGTCTTTATATTCTGTGAATAAAACATACTTCTTGAGTTTCTTCACTCTATTGGCTTGTCAAATTGCAATGTCATGACATTCACGTTGGCATTGTACTTTTCTTAGTAACTAACCCAAATGGGAACACATCTTTTCTTCAACAATATATCTAATCTTCAGAATATACCAGAATTCAATTAATTCTAATCCAAGTGACCAGAATATCCTCCAATAATATAATCTTCTTCAGACTTGGAAAATAACTTTTTTACCCCAAGAATCACAATTATTCAATATTCCATCTCTGAAACATCTGATGATCACAGACCAAAACAAACTCCAAATGTTGAACTCCCTCTTAACATTGCTATTTTGAGAGCTTCTTTATTCAGTGTTTCCTAGCCCTTTAGAATCTTCCACAGACTGGAGTAACAAACTGCTGAAGTGATGTTCCAACATCTTTGTTAAACATCAGCATCTTCCTCGATGAATATATCACTAATTTTGATCCTGAAGATACTCATCAACTAAAAGTACTTTTCTCACCAGTAACTCAGAAACATACCTTATTTTCATTCAAGGAATAGATAAGACCCTTTGAAGACTTCATAAATAATAGATTCACCTTAACAAAAGAAAAGCATATACACCTATCTATCCACTAGAACTCTCACCTTGTATTGAACTAAACATAACCATAGAACATGTTCTAAAGCTTTTGAAATTGTCTGATGTTGCATCTTTTGGTGTAACATCCTGACTTCTTCTTTCTTGAACACCAAGTAAGAGAATAAACAATTAAATAATTGTGAATTTCACAAATAGAAATTGTTCTTAAATCCTCAGAGGAACTTCATACACCTCATTAGTGACAAACAACTCATCCTTGATGACAAATACTTTCATACTTAGATCACACAACTGACTTTTGTTTATAACAATAGTCACCAGTTTTTA